AAGGTTGGTCAATGCCGAGAACGCCGCTTGATCAATATTTTCAAGAAACCTGCAAGAGTCATGACAAACCTCCCAAGTGCTTGCAGGGAAGGTTTTTCAATTGAAGCTCGTCATTGGGACTATTGAGAAGCCGGGGGGGCAAAGTCATTAAAGTGCTCCCCAATACGGTCACGCCAGGGATACCAAGTTTCCACAATACCAAATCATACACCACCGCTCCGGGGAACATACACCAGCAAAGCGAAGGTTTCTAGCCCTCTGATTGGCTCAAGATAATTAGCGCTGTTTTCCAGAGCACAGACTACCTCATTAAATTCTTCTTATCAGCTTATCAGCCCATAGCTATACTTCTTAATAGCTAATTTAGCACTTAACCTAGCAAAATAGGCCTATTTAAGCCAGATTAGGTTAGTTAGTTAGTATTAGTTATAGGCCAGAGGCTGCAGGATAGGGCTTAGCTTAGGGTTTAGGGTTAGGGCTAGGGCTTTAGGTTATTTGGGATATATCCTGTTGCTGTTAGTTAGTGCAGTCTTGGCCCTGATTGGCTAAGGTATGTTGGTGTATGTTCCCCGGAGCGGTGGTGTATGATTTGGTATTGAAGTTTCCAATAGCGGCAAGCACCCAGACCGCCGAAGAAGGGGCAACATCTGCAGCAGCCGACATTAAGATTTTCCGGATGTTGTCCAGAACCGTTAAGGACAAGGGTCTTGATGTAGTTGTGCTCCAGGGCTGCGATTCAAGAGTTCGGAGGTTTCGATTGCGTGTGTTGTGAAATGAATGAGAGGATACTGAGAGTGATCATATCATGCTCACAAAGACTGTGTCGTTAATTGTTGATATGTTGAATCAGACACGACCCATCTCATGAAATCAATACATAACTGAACAAAGACACGGCTGCCTCGGCCGAGTCCCATTGCATCACATCGACGAGCTTACGACAGCATGTCTAGCAGCCGTAACCTAAATCATGGCGGGTATCGCTGCTAGAAGGATAGGGTAGCTGGCCTCGCCCTCCTAGAGTTAGTCTGTATGCAGCAGCTCCGGTATACGCCGGAGAGGCGCGGTTAAAAAGTGTGCTGCTGCTGTGACCACTGCCAGACTAAGGCAAGGCTGACAGGAAACCCTTGATAAGGCCTAGAACAAGTCGAATTGGGGACTTGGTCAGAGGGGAAAGGATTCGCATAAATCGATTCTCGCCTCATAACTGGATTAGAATATCATTCCCACTACAAGGTGACCGCTAAAGACCAGCGACATGAATGAATTGAGGTCGGCAGGGGGGCAAGGCTCGGTGCAAATACAGCCTGGAAGTCAAATTGTGATGGATCGAGGTCTCATGTCGCTAATGATGCTTGCTTGGCTTTGTGGGCGCGTGCCCGCTCTGGCTGTCAGGCACAGCAATCCTAGAGGTTGCCCGTTGGTCTTGCAGGTGGAGCTGGCACATCCCCGTAGCCTGAAGGACGAATCCACTGGAGTATAAGCCACAAAGGGCATAGCGCTGGCATGCGAAGAGAACGCTAGGACATGGCTAATTTGCGTGGCAGGGATCTGATAGGGTCCGTTCTGATTCGGGAATTGGAAGGCCGTGGCTGGCTTGCTAGTGGATGGAATGTGATGATGTAGCGAGATAGGCCAAGGAAGAATGGCATGGGTTGAGGGAGAGGAAAATGCATTATGTATCAGACCAAGGCAAGCTAGGTAATGACAGGGAAGTGGGGGACGGGGTCCTTTGGGTGAAAGTGGAAAGAACCTGGAAGGGGAAGGGGAAGGGGAAGGGGAAAGGGAAATGGAAAGCGGAAGGAGCTTGAGGAAGAAAGGACAAAAGCTCACAATTGAATTCAGTTGAACCTGCGGGAAGGCATGTCCAGCAACCGCTACCTGCGCTACTGTACACCTCACTCTTACCACTCACCCACCCCTCCACCCCCTCTGCTTTGCACCTACACCCCGGCCCTTAGTTCGGTGGGATGGGATAGAGTAAGTTGGTGCCATGGTCTCGTGGGATTAGGTTGGATTGGATTGCCATCAGTAGCGTCTGAATGTATCCCCTTTACGGATATTGTTCTCAATATTGTCACTAGCTCTACGTTCCCTTCATTATAATAAGCCTCCCTCCTTCTCTCGAATCTCCCTTCTTCCTTCTTCTCTATCAACGCCTCAGTCAATTCGCTACTTCGTTGTGCCTATTCCCACTACCTAATGTAAGTTGCTACCTTCTTCAGCCTTTCCTTATATGGACAACATCCACATACATCGAACTGTGTACCTGGGATACCTAGGAAGAAGGATGAATTCAATTGCAATGCAAATCAGTTGGGCAATAGCAGCAGTAATGGATGGAAGTCAACAAGCTGGCACCAGGTGCCACTGTCAGCTGCTGGTGACAACGAATCAGCCTGGCAGCACACGCACTGCTGGTGGCTTGTTTACACAACTATTCGTTCAGCCTGGTGCACCAAACTCGAACACTGCAGCATCATCATCATCATCATCACAAACGCCATTTGCTCATAGACTCGCTACCATTTACGATCTATCGAATCAGCATTTCGGAAACAATAACTAACTCGCCTGGTAGTAATACTCAGTCATTCTTTCAACCACAAACCAAACCTCACCAACCTTCAAAATGAAGTACACTCTCGCTACCATTGCTGCCCTCGCCTCCGTGGCCCTGGCTAAGCCTGCTTTCCTCAACACCGATTTCGATCTCACTGAGGGCAAGCCTTACACCATCAAGTACTCTGGCTGTAACGATGGCTGCACCATCATCCTCCAGAACGGTCCCTCTGATAATCTCTCTGACTACAAGACCCTGACCAGTATGTCTCACCATTATTGGATATCCAATAGTTTACTGACCCACGATAGCCTCTGCCACTGGTGACTCTTTCACTTTCACCCCCTCTGAGCTTCCTTCCGACACCTACAACTTCAAGATCACCGACAAGGCTGGTGAGGTCAACTACAGCGCACAGTTCCCCTACAAGGGATCATACGCCGCTCCCTCTGTCACCAAGTCCGCCACCGCTACCGCTGAGACCACTGCTGCCGTTTCCACCAAGGAGTCTACTACCCTTGCCAGCGTCACCAAGTCTGCTGAGGAGACCACCACTGTTGCTAAGCCCGTCATTCCTACTCATGCTCCTTCCAAGAACGCCACCACTCCCACTGCTGCTCACCCCACTCCCTCCAAGACTGGCAGCGCCGGCGGCGAGACCAGTGTCCCCAGTGTCCCTGAGAGCGGTGCCGCTCGCATGACATCTTCGCTGGCTCTCATTGCCGGTGCCGTTATGGCCATGGTTTACCTCAACTAAGACATGGACATGATGTTTTATGTGCATAAATGGGATGAAGAAAGAGCGGTTTGATGAGACTCCAGTTTCGGGTGTATAATTCTACTTTAATGATGGCCTTTGTTTTATTCTTTTCCGGTTACCCCATGAGGCGTCGCGGCCGGCTATATCCACCGATGAACCCTGCTATGGCTTGTCTGGGAGGAAGAAAGCCTAGTATTTAGAAATCAATTAGACTCGATCTTGGTCTGTTTTTAAACCATTGTCTGAACCTCTTGTGATAGGTGTCATATCTTGACAATTAATACCCATATCGCCTCTCATAACATCAGTTATGGGATTAAAAACAAAAACAGTGTTTCATTGAATATGTTTATCAACCAACTAATTTGTCACCATCCAAGAAGCTCCGGTTCCCTGTTCTAGGCTTCTGTTGCGTTCTGGCGAACCTATGTGGAGAATAAATAACGTTTACGGTATGTTTTCGCTCTGGCTCCGAGTTCCGTCGTCCGAATTTCCCTTTTGTCTTGTGTTGGTTACTCTCTCCACACATCCAACATCCTTACATGCAGGTTCCCGGTCTGATCTGCCATCCCTTTCTGTGGCCCAATTGCTGTTTCAAAAAGCAACAATTTAACGGGACGAATGCCAAATCAATCCCTGGACCGACGGGCATGCAACATTACTAGGGGTGCCCTGCTATAACGGCGCATGATATCAGTGGACATTCGACATTCTACAATCTCCGCCTCTTTTTGATGTGTCTGTCTTCGATTACAGCCTGGACAGCATTAAAGAATTGCCACACTTTTATGGTCCCAATCTGACCTTTCGTTTGACGCCGAGATAATCTTCGTTATCTTGATACAAAAAGGTCCCTCTAAGTGGACATTATGTGCATCCTTATTACACAAGGGATCGTCCATCATTTACAGTACAGTACATACACAGCAGTTCCCAGTATTTACCCGAGATTCGTCGCACACCGGTAATTGAATGACATGTACAGGGTCATCCAAGAACTGGAATGCTGCGCGAGACAGAGCGCGGAGTACTGTAAGTTTTCATTCATGGGGTGCGTCATAGGATCTCTGCCTAATGCAGCAAACATCACATGGCTCGAATTACTCAACGACGATCGTGTCCTTGCAAGTTGTGGATGGCTTGTGTTACATTTCACAGTTTAACCGTGGAGATCATGACCAAGTTTCCAGTCAAATGTAACCGATCTAGTCTGACTTAGATGATCTGATTGCATGCCCCTTGCGTCAGTGAGCATTCCTGTTGTGTGTGTCTGTGGCGATCCTGTCTTTTCTTTCATTGATCCTATCTTGAAACATACTACCTAGCTACTAGTTACTGTTGAGGTTTTTCGCAGAACAAAGCGATAACTGATGCAACAAAACCACGAGTGGAGATTCGTAAGAGAGCATAGACAACAAATGCCCTCATCGTGCATGAGTACAGATGAAAAGCAAAATCAAAAGATAATGTAGATACTGTACATGAAACCCGGAACCGTTCGGCGCGTGGCAGCCCAAAAACGATGGACAAACTGCCGGCCGGAAACAGACAAGGAATCCATGCCTCAAGACATTCCTTGGTTTCTCAAACTCAAAAATGATTTTTTTTTTTTCGGGGCCGCTGAAATTATCATTGTCGCGGAGTGATTCGCCTCTTCTTGGCGACGAAAGAACTAGACTAGTGGTACATAATATCAGCCCACGCTCCGATTCCGCAGAGTCCTTGGTCATCTTGGACAAAGGTGTAGGTGTAGCTGAATAGGCTATCGCTGCCGACGGACATTTCACAAGCACGGTCACCCACCACGTGCGAGCCGGGACTGGCAAGCGAGCCTGAAGGCTGGGTATCCTGGAGTTCCAGGCGGAGCAGCAGCTCGGATGCCGTGAGATCGGCGACGGAGGCGGGCACGGACACGGACGCCGGAGCGGGGCATGTGGTTTCGGAGGCGGTGGAGGATGTGCCAACAGTGGTCCAGCCGCTCATCGAGAAGTCGTCGGCTTCAGAAGGGGATGTTCTGATTGCCGCGGTGCGCTCGAGAACCATGGATGTAGACATATCTATGGTGGGAGGAGAAGGGTGTTGATAATCATCCATATCCATGACTAGGCCGTAAAAGTCGAAGACGGAAGAATTGCGGTCTTCAACAAGTATGGACGACGAGAGGGACATGGAAGAATCCGAGTTGCTTTCATGCTTATCAGAATGAGTCATGCTGGCCATGTTGATGAGCCCAAGAAGCCGGTTGAGGGACCTCTCTCAGGTATACGTCAGATGTGGTGTAATGTTGTTCCAAATTAAGGGACAAGATAGACGTCGTGATACTCAGTAATGCTTAGCTACTAATGTTGATTAGCGTATTCGCCCAAGGCGAAGCGCCGGGCAGCACAAGCGTTGACTGTATGTATGTCGATGACTTGGTTATCTCGTCTCGCTGTAAAATATTCTGGAAACAAAATACCGACCCGAGGAGGTGGGTGAGGCCAGAGCTTTTTAACTCATGAACCCCTTAGCCCAATACCACAAACCATTCATTGACTGCATAAGCCTATGATCTAGCCCTTTCCCTTCTTCAATCGTGCCGAACGCCATGAACGATGCGTTGGCAGTGCCCCTTGCTTGGTGCACTTCTGACGCGGTCTCGATCAGAACAGCCCCAAGAATACGGTACTTGGGAGCAAGCGTTATTTGCATAGTGGCATATACTAAAATCTATATGTATCTTTGGCATCGTCATCTCTTGAAAGTGGTGTCATTGTTGCATGGCAGAGCCTCCTCTAACCCCTTTCGCATTAGACATGAACTACTGCTTACCTATCAAAGCCAACCGCCTCATTCTCTTTTGACGCCCTGGTAGAGAGGAGGTCTATTTTTGGGGGAAAATGAATTTACTCCTTTTATATCTGACTCTATGACCATGCAGAGACAGGTAGGTATATCTAGAACCCAGTGTGGCTGGCACTAGCACTGGCACAGTTTCTGCTCCGATTATACTAATGATCACTACAGCTGTTTTTTTTTCGAGTTTTCCAAGTCTTTCATTTGACTAGGAACTCTTGCGTTGGTCTCATCAAAGTCTGGGTATGATAATAGTTCCCTGGCATGACTAGGTATGTAAGATGATTGGCTGATAAAGAATGTCGTTGGAGCCTCTCGAAAGCTCACTTCTAAGTTCTAACTACAAATCACACACATACACGCACACACACACTCTCTCTTTCACAAACATTACTCCTGCGATTTCGCTCTTTTCCGGTATTCAGAGGCAGGTGGCTCTTCGTTGGTTGCATCAAGCCCACAGCTTAAAGCACCAGTGTCTCTGAACCGTTTAGCATAAGTCTGAAACTCGGTGTCCCGCCATGCGCAATAGTCTGGATATTGTAAATATTGATAGACCTCCAATAGACTTAAGTTTGAGAGTCTAAACCACTGTACTGCTGATTGAATTGTTTTGCCAACTTTGAGGTATTAGTATCTGAGTTAGCATTCCCATCTGTTCATATGCGCGCCCAGAAAATCGTCTTTTTATTGTATTACGTTGCTGCGCGTAGACTTGGGCTCTATTCTACATACTGATGAGTGTTCAAGAGAAATGCTGTGCAGCCACGAAGTTAGGTTGCATCCTGCCAATTGCGAGTTCTTGCATGGGTATATTAATTCGCTGTGATCGCCGAAGGCCAACTTGCATGGCTTGAGCGATCGTGCGGCATAGTTCTTGTGACTGCTCTGCTGATGCTTGTCTTGAGACCTATCGAATATGGAGCAATGGTGATCAATGTTGGAAAAACGAACGTGGGATATGACAAGAAGAAAGTTGGAAATTGATATCATAGGTAAAAACAGGACAGTTCCTAGACACAGCAAGCTCCTCCTGTGCGTAAAAACGTAGGTAACGATTCCTAAGTAGGCACCAAGATATTCCTCCGCGCCAAGTTAAGTATCCATCTGCTGTGTCTGTGCGGTATCAATAAGAAGAGCTAGCATTTTCACATGTTACCATTGTCCCAACAAGTTTGGATGGAATGTTCAAGTCGCGCTAACATCCGTAACGGCTGAGCCAAACTATACATTGCGTTCTCTTTTTAAGCCTCCAGTGTAGTGGCCATGCTCCCCTTTCGTCGTAAGCCGGGGGCTTTGAACTTCCTGACTACCTGATATGACCTGTCGAGCTCATTCTCGACAGCACATCTGATTCTTAGGGCGGCTACGGCAGGCCATACGCTCCTCTCGCCTCTGAGAACCCAGTAGTTGAGGGTCTCTCGTGTCGGAGTTTCCAACAATCGCACAAAGTCCCCTGCTGTCACTTCGGGCACGAGAACCATGGAGGCAGCCGGGACTTGTTCATCGACCAGGAAGCGCCGGATACCAGTTGGCAGGAGATTTAGTGTGTCCAGCTGACTTAGGCGGTGCCTTATCTCCAGGCCTACCATGCGTACGAGAAAGGCAGATATTTGTGTTGTCTTGCTCCGTGACTCTACTAAAGATGGACCATGCATATCAGACTGAATAAAGGGAATGAGATACGGTCGAGCTTGGCTGACGATGAAATGATTGACGTTGAATAACTCAGCGATGCGTCTTAAAGGTGAGTCTCGATCGGAGTAGGATGTGTGAGTCCAATGTCGAAAGTCAATTGTGTTAGCTGGTGCCCACGGTACAATGTTGCCGTGTGCGTCCTTGCAGAGCATAGTAGTCTTGCGGTGGCCATAGAGAGAGGGCGATGAGGCATTCGACGCTACAGCAGCGGTCCAGATCAACTGAGACGAGTCAGCAGGCTTCACGAAAAGTCAATGTTTCGAGAACATACCACATTAGGCGCAGTCAGATAGTTGAGGAGCGTCGGTACACCCCCCTGGCCCTCCGTCGCAACAGTTATGTTCAGCACCCTCTTGCTCCGGTTATAGGCCTCCTCGAAAGTCAAATCACCAACATTGGCCCTCACACACTCCTCCAAAACGGTCACGTCAAGAAAGTACCCTTCTTTGGAGAAACGCCTAATCCTCCGCAATAGAGTTTCCCACCGTGACCTGAAGGCCTGAACCGTTGAGGTTTCCCCGTTCTCATGACCATTCTGGGGAGCAAATGCCGAGAGGTCAATACCATCGCCACTCAAAACAGCCGGTAGCTCGTCTTCTGTATGAATAGCGACCAGAGCCGCAATCAAGGCGCCTGTAGCCGTTCCCGTAATGATGCGCGGGAGTAAGCCACGCAGAAACAGAGCCTTCACAACGCCCAAATGGCACATGCCAAATATTGCACCACCTTGAAGGACAAGTGTACTCCTCCCAAAAGCCTGTCTTGTATCGTGGATACAGTCCAATTTCATCTGCGTGGTCAAGGATGGCCCCGTGCCATGTATAGCCGATGGAGTTGTAGGCAGGGCGCGAATATCTTCCACTGCCTCGGCAATCTGGGTGATGTACTCTTCTATAAGATACTTGGTACCGGCAAATGATCGATTGTAGAGTTTGGGTGAGGTGATGTTCCCGAGGTTTCGAACGAGGCCGGATCTTAACAGGTTGACGAGCTGCTGAAAGTTTCCGTCTTCCCGCGCGGTCGCGAGAGAGTCCAGGCGTTCTGCAATGAGTCTCCAGTCGTAGTACTTAGAAGCTGGATTGTTCCTCCTGTAAACTTGTTAGCGTGACGCATCCAAGTAGACATGTCATTCTGTATAAGCAGACTTGCCACAGATCAAGGCCCAGGAGGTTATCCAGGTGTAGCGCGGCCTCCTCCCAGTCCTCAAAGGCCTCGGCGGTTCTTAACAGATCCAGCCATAGTTCAACGGGGCTTTTGCGCGTGTACCAGCTCCGCAGCTTCTGCAACGACATAGTTAGGAACGACAAACGTCGCGTATCACGGACAGGAGGAACAGAGAGTTTACCCTCTGCCAGAAGCTGGCAACATCCACGACGACACCCCATACGGTGATTACCACCCCCATTGCGCGTTACCGAGGGCCGATCACAAGCACAAGCACCATTTGCGAAGTGTCGTGTTTTGCGAGCGTTTAGCGACGAGATGGCACGCACCCAGTGTACCTTGGGGAATATGTCATAAACGCTAGAGACCGCATACAGAACCGGTGAAGGGGGCTTTCTTAGGGTGATTAGGTTCGTCAATCAGGGAGAATCTGTATATTATTTTAAAGGACATGCAAGATAAGGTAGCAAGTAGGCTGATGTTGAGTTTCGTAGAGCTCCCCGCAGCTGTTCAACAAAGTACTTCCCCCAGCAAGGGAAAGGTAATGCTTGACGCTAAATCGGCATGTGATTGCCAATGAGATCACCGGTTCTTGAGACATGGAATCTCGGAGATTGAGCCACACTCACATGTACAATACACACGTATATGGTTAGTACCGACTACTCATCATCAGTATCGCACGAACAATCTTTTTCGTTATTTGTTATATCGCGGCTTGTTGTATTGGCGAAGGATTCACATACAGTAAAGATGTGGCTTTGCTGTTATTGCCCCCAAAAGTCTAAAATATAATACAAAAACAACCAATTTCTGCGATACTCTGTCTTGGAGACAGTTTGATATAATCATATTATGCAGCAATGGCCTCCTTTGCTCACCATGCCAAATACCCATCCCATTATCTCTGTAACTCCGATGATGGCCTTTTTAGTCGTCATCATCATCGATGACATTTCTCCTGCGGGATCTTCCTGCCACTTGTTCGACTTCGCTGAGATCATCTACGTCCTCACTGCGATCCCTTGTCCTCTGACGTTTGGAGCGAGGCTTCTCCTCTTCGTCGTCGTCGGGAAAATCATCTTCATCGTCATCATCACCTCCGCTTTCCACTTCTTCGTCGTCACTATTGACGATGAAGCCATCATCGAGGGAGTAGCCTTCGTGCCGACCAACAGCATGCTCAAGCTCCTCGTCTGATTCCTCATCTCTTCGCCTTCTGGGTTTGCCCGACCCAGGTGCGCCGCGCTTGCGAGAGCCTGCCGCGCCTCGGCGCCCACCTTCAAGGTCCCCAATAGACAGCCCTCCTCGTGATCGGCCATAACCACCATCCATCTTGGCAGCAGCATTCTCGCGTCGCCTCTGTGCCTTCATTCTTTCCTTCTCAGCCAATTCGGCCTGCTTCTTCTGGAGTTCGGGGTCGACAGTAGTTTGGATGATCATGTCAGTTGCATTCGCAGGCTTACTGGCGACAGCCATCCTCTCAGCTAGGAGAGTGAGCGCGTCGTCTCCAACAGCCTTATTGGGTCGAACATTGTATTGCTCTGTGATATGCCCAACCGTCATGAGGATGTTGCTGTGCAACTCAGCGGCAGCAGCGTAGTAGTGACCATCATTGACCTCGTTGTAGGGCTTGTCTGCTGGTGGGGCGAGCGCCTTTCTCTGGATCTCATAGTGCTCTCCGCCAACGGAAATGGTCACTGATCCGTCGCTCCAGTGAAAGATGTTTGTGTTGCTCTTGAATTCGCCGGTGCTGTGATCTTTTCGTACTCGAGCGACATGCTTAGGATGCTCAGCCTTGGCATTTGCCAGGTCGAATTCTGTCGGCTCAAACGTCTCGGGATCGTACACTTCAGGCATTATCTTCATGAACTTGGGGATCCGTAGAATTCGAAGCTATACCGTCAAAGTCAGCGCTAAACGGCTTCTCTGAGCAAGTAAAAATACATACCGCGCCATCTTTAGGCTTCGGAATTCGATGCCGGTAGGTTTCTACGTTTTGAATAGCTCGCTCTTTTGTCTGGAATTGAGTCTGGTCGTCGTCGTCGTTGCGATACCGCGCGTAGCTGTCGCCTTCTGGATCTGAAGCAAGTTCATCATCCTCATGGACAGGCTCCTTGGTAGGTACGACATCATCGTCGCCATCATCACCGAAGAGGTCATCGCCGCCTTCGTCGACTGAGTCAATTGGGTCTTCTATGTCGGACATGTTGTAGGTTCTTCGTGGTGACGGGGGTTGAATTAAAGAATGAAAGGGAACAGTGAAAGAAGCGGTTGATTTGCGCGCAAAGTGAGCTTGCAGTCGCGCCTTGCTCTCAGCAACCGTGGATCCGTTTAGCTGATTGTGGCTCTAGCGCCTAAGGTTGGGAGGTAGCCGCACTAGCCACTGTAATATCCGTTTTGTCGATATTCACCGCCACAATCTGTGCCACACATAAATAGATGGCAACCTAAAGCTCCTCTGCCTCAAGTTAGTGGAGACGAGAACGAAGGAACAAGTGTGCTGCAACGTCAGGAGGTGGCAGAGTAATGGGAGGAGTCCCTTTCAAATGCTCTGAAACAGGCATGGCGCGCTTCAGGTGACAAACAGAGCCAGTCGCGTGAGACGAGTAGGGAGGCTTCTGGAGACGGGATGCGATGGATGCGATGCACTAGCGTGAGGCCCCGTTGTGGCGCTCATCCGCTAAAGTTACGGGGTACTTAGCCGCTATTCATCAACCTGGGAAGCCCAAGCCCCGACACCGACACCTCAAAAACCCCCTTTCTCAAACCGACTCCAGCTGCTGATATCGGATTTGATCTGATACTGATCCTGACAACAACAACAACACGCAGTCTCAGTCAGGCAGAAGACAACACCAACGACCGCTCAAGTCACCGAACACACCCTAATACCGACTCGAGCGTGTTCTCCCTCTATTTGGGAAGCCCTCGTGGAATCCTCTCAGGCGTCTTTGCTCACGATTTCACCCCGCCTTTCTGTCAACCATGTCGAACCTCTTTTCTGGCATGTGAGTATATATTTTCATTCTTCATCAGTATTCATCTCATTTTGTCTCTACTCGTCATTGGATCCTCATTGCCAGCGTCGCTTCTGTGTGTCTTGTTTCCCGATTCTGCCACTGTTGTCATGCCTTCATCATCATGAATCCTAAAAGAGCCGCCGCCTCTTGTAGAGGTAAAATATCTAGGTATCTATACCTTACCTACCTTACCTATACACCAGCCACGACCCTCTACTCCTATGCGAGTGCAACATTGCAAATTCTTCATTTCGGATACACTCGAACCTGGAGCCAATACCCTTGCGCACTCCTTGTCGCAGTGCAGGACAACTACCGAGAGACGGAAGGCCAACTGTACACAATCAGACTCTCACCATGTGGTCCCCTGGTACACTAGTACTTCGTCCAAGACATGCCCCAGGTTCATGAGCTGAAAACATTCATTTCCTTGAGCCTCTGAAGACGTTGCTTTGCTTTAGGACTCATTACTAGAAACTGATCACTGTTGAAACCCTCGTCATGATGGGCATTCTCTGGTAGTGCCTGTTGGATGGACATCATGGATAGTTCCTCACTCATATATCATCCTTACCTTTCCTATCATCATTCCTCTCCCTTGCAAGGGCGCCACGCATGGCGCTTTTCTGCGGCTGCCATGGGCGGACTTGCCAGTGTTTCAACCATGTGTGCCATTTCAAGCATAGTGTGCCTGTCATATCCATGGATAGGTGCTCTCCCAAGGTACCATATCTAGTGCCTTACCGTACCTTGTCTGTGCCTGTGCCTGTGCCTGTGCCTGTGCCTGGGCCTGTGCTGACTTGAAGTGACTTTTTTGTTCCTTCCTCAACTTGGCCCTATTTCGATAGCATACATTTCATTTCGTTACATACATTTACTAACATAACATCACCAGTAACGCTCGGTTCCGAGGTGGCTCAGCTAAGCCTTCTTCTGGCCCTCAAAAGAGCCCAACTGGTTCTACTGCCAGTCAGCCTCCCCCGCCAGAGCTGTCTACTCAAGGGAGCCAGTCTTCCTCAGCCAGTCTAGCTCCCAAGGTCCCCCCTCTGCCTAACTCTCCTTCACTCGCCCAGACCATTGGCATGGATGACTCCAGCGGCGTCATGAGCGGTGACGAACTAATCTCTTCCTATCATCTTCCTCGACCTCTCCCTCTGTGGCTCAATGCCCAATATGCTAAGCACATAGTAAAGGGCAATTTCATGACACTAAGTGCCCGACCCAAGACGGTCGAGCAAGGCGAGTGGATTGCACACCAGGGTAAGAATGAAACTTTGATATCACAACAAGTTCTTACAGATCCTAACGCCGTTTAGTTGTTGAGCATTACCGCAACCTTTGGAATTTTGTCAGGGTTCTCCACGAAAAGGAAGATGATGGTACATCCATCTGCAACTCTACCAGCTGCCCACGCATGTCTGCTGGAGCGTGAGTGATCAACACTCTTATCAGACCATACATTCACTTACGCTCGATAGCAACCACTCCTTTACTTGGCTTAACCGTAACAGGGAGCCCGTTGAGCTTCCTGCCAATGAGTACATGACTTTGATGCAGCGATGGATTTCTGGTAAAATCGACGACACCAACATCTTCCCAACTGACCCTTCTGGTGTCTCGTACGCCCACAACCCCTCCATCACCACCACACCTTTGTCCCAGCTCTCGAACCCTGGTGAGCCCGAGTACATCGGAAAGCGATCAGGCTTCCCTGACAAGTTCGTCGATATCTGCCAGATGATTTTCCGTCAAATGTTCCGGGTCTATGCTCATCTCTACTGGGCTCATTTTACCGAGCCATTTTACCATCTCAACCTGGAGAAGCAGCTCAACAGTTGTTTCTCACACTTCGTCCTGACGGCTACGGCTCTGGATATGCTCAAGCCCGCTGAGCTGGAGCCCATGCAGCCTCTGATCGATCTTTGGGCCGCCAACGGAACTTTTCCTCCCGAGTCCAAGGCATATGAGTATGCCAACATCCGCGCCGGCGAGCGTCTTCTACAGCTCTCCAATGTCCCCCAATAAGCATGGACTAGTACCGGTGTACCGTAACACGAAAGGCGGAGAAGATGGGGTATTGATCCTGTGGATCGACTCCCATGTACACAATCTGGAGGGTCTGTATCCAGCCTGGAGTCCGAAGGTTGACAAACCAGGCAGCTTAACTGGGACCGCATGATAAAGCATATTCTTGCAGTAGCAAAAGAGCGGCAGACTTGGAGTTCGGGGGCCACGACTTAGAGCTTCGAGGAGAGCTTGACTATGAAGGGGACACACACACGGCTGGTGGTAGACATACGAACTAGGAACTTTGACCTATCGATGTGAGGCTTGTTTCTAGGTCCCCAAACACAAATAGATTTCAAAAACTTAAGCAACGTAGTGTAGAAAATCACTATAGTGACCCGTCCTGTCAAACGATAGATTCCTGCTCTCAGATTACTCGATCCATACCCGGGCTGACCGATGCCTCGTCCCGTCATGCCTTTCAGTCATTCTTCGATCGCTTGTTGCACTGCGCGCTTACCTCGCTGATTTTGTATTCCACAATGACTGGCCGATCTTCCTCGATAACGAATCTGCCTGAGCCAACATACAACTTGTCCTGCAGAAGTTTCAACCCCGGAGCATCAGTCTCGAACCTGATTTGCACAACTGACATCGTTAGTATCAAGTCCAGAGTTGTCCCACCACAGCTCAAAACAATGTGGGAAGGATGGCGGCTCAGCGCCAGGTCGACAACCATGTCATGGAATCCAGTAACTCACATGCATTTCCAAAACCAGTCGTCGTGGCATTCGTATCCCCTCGAATCACTTTCCCCTCATCCCCCGCCATGTTGACGACTCCATTATAGCTAAAACGCAACAGGGAGCCAGAAGTATCCCGCGCAACACTTGTTACTTCAAGCTTGACCCATTGGCCATCAGGATCACGCCGAATAAAGTCGCTACCATGGATGAACGTCGCCTCTAGAGGAAGCTCATATCCCGGCTCAGAGACGAGAGTGCCCGCCTTGGGGAGAAAGGGGATGTTGAGTAGGTTAGAGGTGATGACAAGAGGATCATTTATGGCGATCTATCATCCAAATAATTAGTGATACGTGAATCCACTATGAATGGGAGTAATTCGCTGGGCAGAGAAACACGGTGCTTGTAGAGTTTGAAGGCACAGGCTTTAGGCTGGAGACAAAGCTACAGTGATGTATACAAAGGGCGAAGAAAACCACAGTCCCAACATACTTGAGCTGTGAAGGCAGGAATGAGTATAGGGAAGTTCGTCAACTTCATATCGAAAGATGTTCGACTGAATGCCGAGTCTCATTCTTGTTCCAAGAAAAAAGAACAAACTAAGCAGTTGCTAATAGGCTTTTCTGTCTCACTGCTTGGATCCAGTCTTGGAAACAAGAATGGGCGCAGACGCATACGACTTAGTGTGTTGAGTAAACGCATCCCCATCTCGTATTATATCTGCATTCTCCGAGACCACAGCAGAGGCGTTTGCACGCAACGGCGATACACTGGCTTGACTGGGCGAAGCGTGTGCGAGCATCAGCATCTGAACTATGGCACACGTTGTGCTGTTGTTGCCCTCGTGATAGGAGCATCTACCGAAGCGGATTTGCTAGTCAATTACGAGATCTCTTGTTGTGTGACTGGTGGACCGAGCTGATATGGGTGCATACAAGAGGCGACGATTTCGAGTGACGCAGGCCGTCCCAGACTGTGGAGGTCCTTGGGAGACCAAGGCACAGAGATCTGATGATAGGGGTACATATATGAACTGGGAGCCATTTCCTTGACACGCAGAGATACATAAATCCGTTCTCAATAGTGTAATATCAGAACCTATCGCCAATGACGAAGCACAAGGCCCCATGGTAACAAAAGCGATTCGTGGGAACGAAACTGATGACATGGCGCAAAACGCCCGCAGACGATTTGGCTGACGATAATTTGAAAAGCCACCAACAAGGGTGATGTGTGTCCAAGGCACCAGTTACCAGTGTAACGATGTTCACGACACAATGACACCGCGAGCCCATTTGTTAGGTACGGTCAGACTGCTTTCACAATGCACTCGACATAACCTAGCATCGGACAGGTTCAGCCAAGGACTGAACTATCGATGTGATTCTGGTTCATGATGGCGGCGTGGTGCTGTGTTTGTGCATGGGATATCTACA